AGAGAGAGAGAGAGAGAGAGAGAGAGAGAGAGAGAGAGAGAGAGAGAGAGAGGATCTTCCCATGTTGCCACGGGAAGATTCATTCTCAACGTTTCAAAAGTTAGGAAAGTGCCTAAACGAGAGAGAGAGAGAGAGAGAGAGAGAGAGTTATTTGGAGACATCTATGCACACACATTGCCCAAACTCTGGAGGAACAGGTCTTTACTAACACAAATTGTCCAGAGAGATCCTATACCGTACAGCACACAGACCTGTTCACAGCACGCTGCCATTTAAGCAAAAAAAAAGAAGAAACAGTATACATAGAAAATACTAGAATAAAATAGGGTTTTATGCACTTTTGTTATGACCCTGGCCAATTTCGAGATACACATCCACTGGAAAGTACAATGCCATCCAATTGCAGAAAGAAGTGAATGAACTTGAGAAGAGGGAGGGGTAGAAGAAGAAGAAGAAGAAGTAAGAAAGAAGAAGAAGAAGATGTACACCAGCAAAGACAATGACAAGGCTCTTCTTCTTCGCCCAACAATCTCCTCCTCCTTATCTCCCCCTTCTCTTATTCATACAAGAAATAATGATACAATGTTGAATGACTGGTCCAGAATCATGTCCAAGTCCCTCTTCTACTGCAGGTACCACTCAAGGTCCACCATAGCCATGGCCGCCTCTCCCATTCTTCACTCTCCTAGGCCGAGGCTATGGTGGACTACTAGGCCTTGCTCAGATGTCCAAAGGGCAACGCAAAGATGTCCAAAGGACAACCCAAAGCAGCTATGGCTGCTCAAGCTTTGGCCGCCATGCCCAACCCTGCCTTGAAGCTTCTTGGTGTGGCTCTCCCCGGCTACTCCTTGCTGCACCGCCCACCAAGGTGATGAAGATGGCTGCCACCATAGCCAGGTAAGTACCCCTGGCGCTCCTCCCCCTTCCTCCTTCCTTCCTCCTTCTTCCCTCTAGTCCTTCTTCTTCCTCCCCAGCAGTGCAGCTCCAGCCCAGCGCTGCTCCCTCCAGCGCTCTACCAGTGTGTCGCCAAACTTGCACACCGAAAAAGAGGCTGGGTCTTCCGCCCGGCCGGAAGATATAGCGGCCTGCTTTGCCTCTTGGGCGGTGACTTCCAGGCCGCTGGCCTTCCCAAGCAACCGGTACCTCCTCCTCTTTTTGGAGGGAACATCATTGCAGACTCTGATATTGCCCCTACAGGCCCTAGACTCAGACTGGTACCCGCTAGACCTAGCCTACACTACCGGCCTCTAAAAATGCCACTTTTGTCTTCTTCTGCTCGGCCTCCGGTACCTGCATATTTACCCCCCTGCCGGGTGCGGTACCGGCCTACCTGCCACTTGAGTGCTTTTTCCCCGCTACAACCCTTTGAAGCCACGGCCACAGGTAAGTACCGGCCCTGAGGGCCCAACGAACGAATAAGTAACCTGGCGGGCCACAGACACACTCATACCAACCAGCACTCAGACAGACATGCAGTCCAGCAAGCACACACACAGACTTAGCAGGCGGGAACTCAGTAGGGCATTCATTTTTTTTTGGTGTGGTCCGATGGACCACGGATCAGATATTAAACTGATCAGAACAGATACTACACTTGATCTTAGCCAAAAGGCCGAGAAAGTAGGGCACTCAGTCTATGAGCAAAACTCAGAAATCAGCTGTGTGTTTCAGTCCGTGTTTGGACGGGTTATCACACTTTTATCATCCATGATTTCATACAAATGCTAGGATAAAGCAGGGTTTATCACTCATGATTTCTGAAATCTGTTCTGAGAGAGAGCAGCATGCCTTCAATTCGCAAAAAGCAGCAACTGCTATTCACAACATCCACATCAAGTAGCACATACACTCACCACAAGGCCTGTCTGTAATGAATCCAGGTTGTGCCATGACACTCCACTTAAAGTAGCACTCTGCACATCTCCACAGTGATACCAAGTAAGCCATTTGAACCCCCGCAGTTCAAGTCAGTTGCACTCTGATCGTCCACACTGAAGGCATACTCACACTGCGATTTCCCCCCTTAAACTGGGGCTAAATGATGCTTTAAGTTAAACATTACAGCCAGTGAAGGAGGTTCTACTGTGAGTATCCTCGACGCTCCATGCATTTGAACCCCAGCAATTCAAGTCAGTTGCACTCTGATCATCCGGAATGAAGGCATACCGTCTCATACCCACAGTATGATGTTTTTTGACTGAATTCAGGGTTAAATAATGGCTAGATACTAGATATGGCCAGGGAACGGAGTCCTATTGTGAGAATACCCTGAGACCCAGGCAGACATCGAAACAGCAGCATGCTCAAGTAATCATTGTAACGACGCAAACAGACATGACTACCATAGTGACAACCACCAGCCAACCAACACTCACACACACACACACACAAAAAAAAAAAAAAAACATACACACACACATGCACAGACACACAAACACAAACACACAGCACACACACACACAACACACCAAAAAGAAAAGACAAAGATGCACACATGTTCACACATGGATGATTCTGGGGTCCCATCACTATCTCTGCTTCATAAGTATACCTCAGGACCTGGAAGTTGACAAACGCCAGTACCTTTAGCTTGTCGTTTCTCCGTGTGCAATGTTTAACGGAGTTCATGACTTTTACGTGTTGCCTCTTGAGAGTCTTTTCAAACTCATGAAACATACAGGCGTTCATCCCTCTCTTATCAAGTAAAATTCTAACCCCAGCACATATCGATAGCCAGAACCTCACAGCAGGAATCTCGGATGTTCTCCCAGCTAGACCCCCATGGTCGCTTCAGGAGAGTTAACATTCATTTTCTCAGAAAACAGAAACTCGTCATCTTTGTTTTACATTTTAAAATACTAGAATAGACGTAACATTTCATTTAGGAAGAGGAATCGGACTAGTGCTTCCCAGAATAGAAAGGGTCAGGGGGGGGCGCGGGGAAACTCAAGGGGAGGGTGGGGGTAGTCACTCTGAAAAGTAGACAATTGAGTGATACATGGAGCAGGGTCAGCACGGTGAAATTCAGGTTGCTTTTTTTGCCCGGCCGAGCTTCCAGGCAAGTCACAAGGGTACCTGGGCCAGTGCATTACCAGAGGATCCCGAATCCGGGCTCATTTCTTTTTTCGAGTGTTGGCTGTCGAAGGGGGGGGAAGGGCACAATAAATTGGCTTTAAAGGGGCTAAAGGGGTTTAAACTTCAAAGGGGGTTGCCTTAGTCTGATTCTGTTATTTTCTTTCTAGCCTCTGATGCAGTGAGGAATTCAGATGTGACCCTCAGCCGAAGGTCGTTTTAACTTTGTATTGCAAATCTACACAACATAGTTCTTATCTGGAATTCTTTTTCAAGTCGTTTTGCTTTTGTTTTTTCTTTTTCTTTTCGCGCTAAGGCTGCCCAGAACCCTGCCTGGGGGTCATGCCTGGCCAGGGGACCAGGCGTGAATTCGCGCACAAGTTGGGTGCCCCACGCCCGGACGCCCAGAAAAAAAATCAAGGCTTTTTCGGAAGTTTTTCCCTTTCTTATTTTACTAGAGGGATCCTTTGCCTTTTGCCCCTCAAACATGGCGAAAATCCTCCATCGCATAATGCCCTTTTCTAATTCCATCTTTGCATAATACCCCTGTCAGAGGGCTATGCAGATTTCTGCCCTCCCCCTTGGAGCAAGATGTCTGGGCCAGCAGACTTCCTCCGCCTCTTTGCCCCACTACCGGCACCAGCAGCCAGAACAACCAGGGCGTTCAGAAGAGCTGAACCAGTACCCAGTAAGAGTGTAGCGAAAATGTGACCGGTCCTATCCACGCGGGGGGCATTTGGCAAATTTGGGCCACGGTCAGAAGGTATTCCGGTCCTTTGTTTTTCCAGTGTTCTTTTTTTTTTTTTTTTTTTTTTTATTTAAATGCAGTGGGAGTCCCTACTCATCATGGAGAAGGTATTCCGCTCTACCCATGGCTTTTGGGGGCAATTAAGGATTTTGGCCATCTTTGAGGGGCAAAACACAAATTTTTGCTTTACTAATAATTATTATGTGAATTTATGTCATTGTTTGCTTTTTCTGTTTCCTTTATTATGCCATTGTTTTTTTGATTTTTTTTTCTTCTGTTTCCTTTTTTGTACTGCGAAACATTTACTAATTTTACTTCCATCATGAACAAACTCCTGGCTCTTCAGAGTCAACAAGTTCTATAAGGACATCATTTTTCCCTTGTCTTTCTGTCTTCCTATTTTCCTGAGTGTTGTCCGGCCTCTTCTGACTCACCTTTAAGGAAAGAATTGCATCTGATGTGGCGCCTATATCATAACCAAAGAGGAGACCTCCCAGTGCTGGGAACAAAAAGCTAGCAGGTCAAGACGACAAAAACACAGGGATAGACGAAAGAGACGTCCGATTAGTTAAGTTATTAGAACTTGTTACCGTACCAACTGGCCTTGCCCAGTTGGTAACACCCCTCAACTGTTGGAATAAAGACCTGAGTTCGAACTCCACTGAGAGCAGATGATTAAAATACTCCAGTTCGGAACTACCTAGGGCCGGTCACCTCGATAATGATATCTCAAGGCCGTTGCCCTTTTAAAAGGCGGGGGGGGGAGGGGGAGGAGAAAGGTAAGGGAAAAACAACTTTATTACCGTTCAAAAGAAATTCAATCTTGATGCACAATCATGCACATACTACTGGGGGGAGGTTCCACGAGCAAAGAGGATTCGATTTAAGCAACCGAATCTGGAAACGTTTCACACAGAGATGCAGAAAAGCAGATCAATCACAATTTTCTGCACCTCGGCACAAACACATTGAGATTCAGGCATTAAACTCAATCCTCTTCAATCCTCTTTGTTCGTGGAACCTTGCCCCTGGGGTGTCATATTGTCTTTCAGCCTGGGCTACTAGCCGGGCAGCCCGGGTCACCTTGTTTGACTGGGCCGCCCGGCTGCGCAAGGACCAGGGAAGGGCTCAGCAAAAAAAAAAAAAAAAAAAAAAAAAAAAAAAAAAAAAATCTTGAAGAAAAAAACAATGTGATGCACAAAAATCAGCCGAACAACTTTGCCTCAGGGTCACATCGAGCTTCTTTACCAATTTTAAAATAAAAAATAAAAGTCAAAACTTCTTTTTTTTTTTTTGAAGAGCGGAATGCCCTTTTGGGCCGGAATCTGCATTGTGCCTCTGTCAGGCGCGTGTGCGACTTTGCAATCTGGACCTTCCCGTTTGGGCCTTGGCCTTCTACAATAGCGCCTAGGAAAAGTGGGTACTGGGGCATTTTGCGAAGTTGGACAGTACCTGGTAGGGGTGTATTGCAAAAATGGGGGTCCAACCGACGCCAGGAGTAATAAACAAAATGTTTTTTTTTTTGTCAGAGGGGCATTCCAGTCTACCCACATTTTTAGGGGCATTTTGGCATATATCTCTACTTGTATGGGAATTTTACAAATTATAGCTAATAATAATTGAGTATATGTTCTAAATTAATAAATATTAAATACCAACAGGCTTAGCTCAGTTGGTTGAGCATGCAAGTGACATTCAGGAGGTCGTGGGTTCAGCCCCCCACGGACGCCTGCGGCGCTCTTGGGGTTTACAGCTGAGATAGCTGGCTTGCCCCCCCTGGTCGGTCTTGGCAGGAGTTTGGGTTTCCTCACCCTTGCCCCTGTCATCCCTTGATGGGGGTTAGGAGCTAGCTTAGGTACTACTCCTGTATAGAGTACAGTAGATAGACATAGCCTCCCTTTCAGTGTATAGACATAGCCTGCTGGTCCGTGTATAGACATGAAGTTCTTGGCCTAGATATGTAGGCGCAGGTGCCACTGACCCATTCTTGAGACCCCTTTTATCTGGGTGCCTATTTCCCCCCCGTGCCACATATGCTGTGCGCCCGGATCCCGTGCGCTTGCATGCCGGCCGTGTGGAATTGCCCGCACAGTGTGCACTTGCAAGCATGCTTTATATGAATGACGAAAGTCTGTCACAGCCCCCCGACCTTTGTCCTTTCCAAGTCTGTCACTGCCCCCCGACCTTTGTCCTTTCCTCCCTTTCTGCGTACGGTTCACCGGCCAGTTTCTCTATGACTATATAGCATAGTTGCGGCGCATCTCTCTCTCTCTGTTACATGCTGAAAGCCTACACAAGGGCCCCTCACGGGACCCGAGGTTGGAATAGGGCCCCCAGGTCGCGTCACCGCAACCTGAAGGCCCTATGGCATTTTTACTTGGGCCTGCATCAGAAAAACGCCAGCTTTAGATTATTTTTATAGTCTTTATTTTATTTATTTGCTGCTGTTTTTCTAACGGGTGTACTGTTGTCCGTTTTGTGGCCAGGTACACGCTTCTAGGGCCAGGGCCAGATTCAGGCCCAGAGGCTGAGCTCCTAAAAACGTTTGGACCTTTTCTTTTGTTTTCGAACAGATTTTGACCTGTTCGAACCCAGGCCGACGTTGAGGCCGGGTACGTCCACACAGGACCGGTTTGAAGCCAGGTACCAGGAAGATTAATCCTGGACAGGGCCTGGACGTCCGGTACGGACCCAGGCAGGCCGTTTTAGGCCAAGGACTGAACCAGTTTTCGAAGCCTGCGATCTGGACCGTGGATCGGAGTTACAATCTGCACGGTCCAGAACGCAGGCTGTGGGTTTTCAGTCCTGGCCCAGCACTACTTAAGCTGGGCCATTGCCCAGCTCGGACACAGAAGGTACCAGGAGAGATCCAGCGTTATGCTGGTTCAGGAACTTGGCTGCTGCGCTATTTTGGAGACTCCTTGCTGCGCCATTTCGAGACTGCAGCTGCGCTGCTCATCGGCCATGAGGCACAGCGCTGGAGGAGTCCAGCGCCGAGGAGGGTAGTGGAGTTAGAGAGAGAGAGAGAGAGAGAGAGAGAGAGAGAGAGAGAGAGA